CAAGAAAGAGAAAAATACCATTTGCAAGAAGCATAATGCCCTTTCTTGGTTTACTAAGACCAGTCAGGGCTTGGACAGTTTCTTAGGACAATGTCTACAAGGTGTGGCTTGGGGTCTATTAGTGGGTATGAAATCAACTTAGTGAGCTCCAAGTAATACTTTAAAAGTTTGATGTAATGGAACTTCTCAGGGAATACCACACAGAATAAGTAATGTGCCAAGAAACTTCGTTCATGTTTTTGATATGCAGATATCTCCATGGCTGCCTGTCTCAATTACGGGGTTCTTTCCATGCCAGGAGGAGGAAGAAAGAAAAGAGGAGAAAGGGAGTACAGGAAAGGGAAACAGGCACTCTAAGGCACAACGCCTTCACTAACTCGAGATTCTAGGGCGCAATCGGACTTCTCCAACAGAGGTCTCCTCCCAAATTCTCATCCTCAAGATACAGGATGATCTTTACTGTCCCATTCTTGGGGGTTAATGGAGTCTGATCTGCTCACAAATGGTTACAAAGGTTCTGAGAAATCCTTCCACCTGCTGAGATTCATGAGATGAGCCGAGATGATGCAATCTCAACTTTCACCTTTATCTTCTTGGCCTGGACTCCAGTGTCCCACTACCCTCCTCCTCGCATTTAGTCTTCAGTTATTTCAATGGGCACCTAGTTATAGAACTCAACTCTGCAAGGGAAACTAAGGAAAATAAATCCTCTCTTCTAATAGGACATTTAAAATACAAATTCCAGGGCTGGCCAAATAGCTCAGCAGATTAAAGCACCTGCAAGTAGGCACAGGGGCCACATGTTCCATCCCCAGGCCTGCTGTGCTGTCCCTGCCGCTGGGGCGCGCTGAGACAGCAATTGAGAATGGGCATGGTGGCGCTCACCTGCAATCCCAGCTCTTGGGAGGCTGTAAACAGGCAGATCACTATGAGTCCAATCTAGTAGTGTGACCCTGAACACCCTGTAGACCCTTCCCTAAAATACCAAAAAAACAAAACAAAACAAAACAAATTCCAAAAATAAAACGGAAGGATTCTAGGTCAGGGAGATAGCTCAGCAGTCTAAACACCTGCCTGCCAAGCACAAGGACCCAGGTTTAATCCCTAGTACTGCATGCTGAGCTGACCACCAAAATTGGGCATAGTGGTGCATATCTGTAATCTCAGCACTGGGGAGGCTGAGACAGGAGTATCACTATGAGTCCAAGCTGTGTAGTGAAACCTTATACCAAATATATAAAATAAAAAAACAGAAGGATTCTTTCACTTCTACATTCTGGGACTCTTCATCATTTTTCTCTTGCAAGAATAACAAAGAACAAAAGGAAATAAAAGATACAGTATAAGGAATTCCAAAACTCAGAAAAACTGACAGTAGGAATAATAGTCGGATCCTAGCCTCAAAAGCCCTGCTCACCTACACCTGCCTGCCTCCTACAGTATCAGCCAGTTCTAGGAGACAGAGTTTGAGTTCTACCTTTACCATCTACTTACTGGCTTCAAAACATGGGCAAGTCACCTTCCCGACTGAATCCCAGAATCCTCATGTGAACTGCATAGAAATCCTAGCTGCCACCATGTGTGCGCAGGCTAGAGCCTCTGTAGAAATCATAGTTGCGACCATGTGTGGGCAAGCTAGAGTCTCTGTCCCCTAGAGACACACCCAAACCCCTCTGTCCTGCCCTGTGGCCCAAGCTGCTGTGAAGACTACGTAAGAGTACTTACTCAGCGCAGCCTGGGGCACAGCACAGTGGAGATGAGCTGGAGGCCAGCCTTCTGTCTTATTGCCCCCGCCCCCACCCCTGCCTCAGGAGAGCCTGTTTACACACGGACTTCAGGACCCATCCCAGTTTCCGACCCATGGGATCTGGGCTGGGGCCTGCGAATCTACATTTTAACAGCACCCATGTGACAGAGACTACTCAGCCAAAGTCTGAGAGTGGCTCTGCCACTGAAACAGCTTTGCTCGGTTCCGTGGACTCCTCTGTGCTATAGCGAAGCAGTCCCCTCCTGCTGTGAGGGTGAGCAGGAAATGAGCCCGAGCTGTCAGGGGTGCAGCTGGGCCGCACACCCAGGAGGTGCCCTACACAAACCACCACCACCAGAACCGCGCTTGTTTGCCTGTACCACGCCTGCCCACCTTCACTGGCTTTGCTCTTCGTCAGGAGGACCCCGATGTGCCTATCGGATTCAGGCTGGCCTCGGGGCTCCGGGCTGGGGCTCCGCTTATGGAAGTGCTCCTGGCTCCTGCTCCTGGGGCGCTCGTAGCGGGGCTCCGGCTGGGCCCGGCGGCGACTCTCCGCAGATGGGCTGTCTGGCCCATAGGCCTGGTGGTAGGCGCGATCGTAGTCCCTCTCGTAGTCCCGCTCGTAGTCCCCGTCTATGCTCCGGCCGCGGCTGCGGTCCCGAGCACGGCGATCCTCATAGTCCAGGCCACGCTCCAGGCTCCGGCCACGGCTGCGGTCCTGGTCCTGGTATCGGTGGTGGGCTCGGCTCCGATCCAGGCTGCCTTCCCAGCTGCGGTTAAACTCTTCACGGCTGCTGTGCCGGCTCCTCTCGCTGTACCCACTGCGGTAACTCCTGCTATCGAACTCATCCATCACATCAAAGGCCCGGTCATCGTGACTGAGGGCAGGGCTGCCCTGCAGCGGGGCCACCTGGACTACCCGTGGCCGCTTTACCACCTGTTGTCAAACACACAGTATGGAAGAGGACAATGACAAGAAACAGTGAAGAGGGGGCAAGGGTGCTAGCTCTAATTTCATTTAACCCTCCCTCCAACCACAGCACCCGAAAAACAGCAAAAATCCTGTGTCCCTTAAACAATGTTCCCAATTGCTCGCCAAGCCTCAGCTTCCTCATCTGGAAACAGGTCCAATAAAAGAACCTGCAAGGCTAAAATAAAAAGACATTGACTGTGAACATGACTACAGTACTGTGAATTAAGCAGACCACTACCCTGGATACAAAACCAATATGCAAGAAGCAGTAAGCCTTCCTGTACAACAATAATGAATCCATGATATAGTTCCATTTATAATGGCTTCAAAAAACTAAATACCTAGAGATCAACCTCACCAAGGAGGGGAAAGAGCTCTTTAATGAATACTGCAGAACTCTGAAGAAAGAAACTGAAGAGGACATCAGAAAATGGAATGCCAGTCCTTGCCCGCAGGTAGCAAACTACTGCTGAAATAGTAACATTACCCAAAGTGAGCTACAGCTTGATGGTAGTACCTACTAAAATAGCACAGAACTAGAAAAAACAATCCTAAAAGTCATGTCATGTGGAAACAGAAGAGCTGAAGCAATTCTAAGCCAAAAGCAAAATGGGAGAATCACAACACTGGATTTCAAGTAATACTTGCTGAGCTGTGCTCAAAAAAAAAGCACTATGCAATGTGTTAATTATTGAAACTGTCCTACCAATTGAATTAAAAACGGCCCAACGCCAATTGGTTAACAAAAAAAATAAGGGGAAAAAAAAAAGAAAAAGCACTAGCACAAACAGGCACAAGGACCGACGAAGCAGAGCGGGAGACAACAACCCTGTGTACCGGCAGTGGCCCAGGATTTTACGAGATCACACACTGGAGAACAGATCATCTCTTCAACAAATGGTGCTGGGAAAACTGCTTATCCATGTGCAGAAGACTGAAAGGAGAGCTGGCTCTGTTACCCTACACCAAAGGTAAATTAAAATGGATCAAAGACTTAGATACAAAAACAGGAATTTTAAAAGTAATTGAAACAGAGAAAACGCATGAAGCCACAGGCAAATATGAGGACACCCAGTATAACCCAGTAGCAAGAATCAACAAGTATGATTACATCAAATTAAAAAGCTTCTGCATGGCAAATAAATCTGTCAACAGAGAAACAAAACAAAACAAAACAAAAAACAACCCATAAAATGGAAAAAAAGCAACAACTGCTGGCACACAGAGAGAGAAAAAGGAAGTCTCCTACATTGTTGGTGGGAATGAAAACTCATGCAACCCCCCCTGGAAATCAGTGTGAAGGTTCCTCAAAACACTAAAAACAGAAATCCCATATGACCCAGTCATGCGTCTCCTGGATGTATTCCTATTAAGCGCACCATCCGACAGCAGCACATGCAGTACCCATGTTCACATCAGCTCAACTCAGAAGAGCTCCGCTCTGAAAACCACCTGGATGCCTGACAACACAGAAATTAGGTAGCTATTACTCAGCCATAAAGAATAAAATCATGTCAGCTGTAGGAAAACGGGTGCAGCTTAATTCTAGAATGCTGAATGAAATAGTTCAGACTCACAACATTACATAGCACATGGTATTTCTCATGTAAGAGACCTGAGATATAAATTCATTAGTAAAACTAAGAAGAGATGGGGCTGGAGAGATAGCTCGGCGGTCTAAGTGCCTGCCAGGCAAGCCTAAGGACCCAGGTTCAATCGCCAGTACTACATGCTGTATTGGCTCTGGAACCCCAGACACATGGTCCTGGCCACCAAAAGTGGGTGTGGTGGTGCATGCCTATAATCCCAGTGCCGAGACAGGAGGATTACTATGAGTCTGAGCTGTGTAGCAAGATCCTGTACTCAATAAATAAACGAATAAATGAATGAATGAATGAATGATTTTTTTTTAAAAAAAGAAGAGATGGTAGGACATAAGAAAGCAGACTTTGGGCCACGGAGATGGCTCAGTGGAAAAAGCGCTTCCCTGGCAAGCGCAAGAGCCTGAGTTCAATCCCCAGTTCCACCAAAAAAAAAAAAAAAAAGAAAGAAAGAAAGAAAGAAAGAAAGAAAGAAAGAAAGAAAGAAAGAAATTAATTAATTTGGGGCTGGGGAGATGGCTCAGTGGAATAAGCACTTCCTT